TATGAATTCAAATTTATGATCATGTTAGGAATGATTTTAGGTGTTTAGAAGTAGCTTAGATTAGTTAGAATCGAAAAGGAGTGAAAGTGCACTTTAAACGAACTCAAACAGGGCAACCGACCCTAGCGCTATGGGTGGTGCGGGGCACCAGCCTGTAAACTTCAGAGGTGGGTTTGGGGCGCTCTGGCAGGCACATCGCGCCAAGCCCCAACCCAGAAAATTCAAAAAGTTTCTTTTCTCGTTTTCTCACCCTATTTTGCCTAGAATCGAATGGTTTCTTCCCCAATCACTTAGAATTGATTACTTAACATAATTACACTCTAATATACTCAATACATCCCTTAAAACACTCACTTTGATCTCAATAAATCATCCAAAACCCAACACAACAAGATTTAGAATGAACTTCAAGAACACCTATCATGAACTCAAATCTTTCAAATTCAAGAATGAAATTTGTTGCCAATAATATGTTTGGCGTGTGGGTGAACAAACCCAACACTAAGAAAGCTTACATACCTCTTCAGGATTAAACCCATGGTGAAAATCCTCAACAAGACGCAAGAATTTTGACGAACGCTTGATCCTCTCTCCTCTTTTCTCTTCTTCTTTTCTCTTCTTGAACTCTCAACTAAAACCCTAGGCTAATTTTAGGATTATAAAACTGAAACTAATAGGATTAGACCCTTAAAATATTACTAAAAATGAATTAAATCCGATTGGGTAAGGAAAAGACCAAAATTGCCCTTACTATCTTCGGCTAACTTTCCTTAACTGGACATCCTAACTTCAAAAGGCCATATCTCACTCATCTGAACTTGAAACTTAGCAAACTCGGTGGCGTTGGAAAGATAATTCAAAGATATTTCCCAAGGTATGTGGTATAACACGTAACACATCCTGAGCTAGGAGTTATGGTCATTTTAAGTTGACCCAAAACTCATACTTAGCTTAACTTGCAAAATTTCAGATTTTGCTATTTCCAATTTAGTTCTTTTTGGAACTCAAGGTGCTACATATAGGGACTTAACACTCAATAAATCTTAATTCCTTGGTAAAACCTCACTCACTACGAAGAACGGTTCGATACTTTTTTCGAAAAATTTTCTAGGGTGTTACAAATACCTTTTTCAGCTCGTCAATGAAGTTCTCCGGATCCTCAATGACACTTGAACATGTGAAGCTTGGTGGGTTCATCCTAAAAAGCTCATGGATCCTTGAAGTATCAGCCACTTCGTGTCGATTATCTCTTTGTCCAAATTGATAGGTCGCAACTTAACTTTTTGGTGACCTCTTCTTGGGGTTGCACTTCTAGTGCATTAGGTACCCCTTGTTCCTCGACATTTCTCCTAGCAGGACGACCTCTGACTACTCTTTGAGAAGGCATGATTATCTGAAAACACGCGCAAGCGTGAATTAGAGGGAAACTTTTTAGAGATCAAACTCTAACGCACGAAATGAGTGTGATAGAAGTGAGAAATTTTCCTAACTGTTGCAGCCTCCTAATTATAGATGTGGCGTGCTTCACACCGATAAATAAGACTCTACAGACACGGCTTCATACACTCCCTAGGACTCTTGAACTCTGTGCTCTGATACCAAGTTTGTCATGCCCCCAGCCTACACCTTGGGTGGGACAGCCACTCGAGAACCATTGCTGGCCCCAAGCGAACCCTTGGCCTGGCTTACTTACTCAGCAAAAGACTATATGCAATAAGAAAGGAGTTCAAATGCTAAACAACTTAACTGTCTCAAACTGAACTTATAATGTTTTTTAAAAACACATTTAACATAGCCAAAATGACAACTCAAATCTGAACATAAGCCAATAAAAAATGATGACAAATGAACTAACATCTAACTAACTATCTATGAAGCCTCAAAAACAAATGAGATGTATGTCGGGACAGGCCCACGACATCCTAATGAACTATCTAATATTGAAAGTAAACAAAAGGGATCCTTCGGAATGCAAAGAGGCACACCAACAGACTCTAAACTGCTCACTGGATCAACGATGTGCTGGATGTCAATCCTAGTTACCTGTGTCTGCATCATAATACGATACAGGCCAACAAGCATCAATACATTGAATGTACGAGCATGCTAGTTGGAATGCTAAACATAGCATAGGCTTGAAAAGAATCTGAAAGGAACTGAAGAACTTACCTGGCTCAACTCAACTCAACATAACTGAACTCATTTCAATATAAAGCAGTTTAAAACAAGTGCAATATAAAGAAAAGCCTTTTAAAACATGATGTCACCTCTGTGTGTATGCAAAGAAAATCCATAAATGATTAAAGGAAATTAAAGTTTTAGGGTCAGAAAGGGTTATCCAAATGGCTTAGCCCAAGAAATATTATCAAAATCGCCTTCAAGGATTTTACAAATCTCAAAATTAGAAAATGGGAATTAATCCTTGAAATGGTAGGCCAAAATCCCTCTCAGATCTCTTAGGCAAAACCAGGTTTCGCTTAAGCGAACCCCACTTAAAGTGGGGGTCTCACTTTTTTAAACCAGGCTCCACGTAAGTAATCATCGCTAAAGCACACCTTGGCTTACTTAAGCTAAACCCATTAAAGTTTGCCCTTCACTTTAGAGATCATGCCCTGGATTAAGTGAAGGTCTCTTACACAAAATGCCTATCACAAACGCGAAGGGTATATAACTCATGGACCAAAAAATTAAGTTACCTCTCAAAACAACAAAAGGACCATTAGGATTTTTTTGAAATATCGTACATACAAATCATATTTGAAAACTGACTATACTTGACGATCTATACAAAATGGAATCATTGAAACAAGAATCTGAGTTTTCCTTGACCCGAGTTTCGTGTAAGTCACAAGAAACTAATCATAACGCCTAAAAAGGCTAAATCAAACTCGAGAACTCTGAAAATTCAATCGAGATCTCACGAAGGCCAAAATGATTACCCTAATCCAACAGAACTCTGACAATTCTGATCCAAGCATCCAAACACCAAATATTGACTAAAGTCAACAAAAAGGCTAAAATTCCACAATTTTCCAACTTAGGACCTCAAATCCTAAAAAAAACTGAAAACTCTCTTAGACATACTTCACTCTTGTACCTAACAGGAATTCGATTTGAAGTAACGCTGAATCATAGAAGCCACGGTTTATCAGAAGACAACATTTAATCTCAATTATTATTCATAAAATATATGTCTTATTTCACGAAAACCATTTGGCAATGGCAATAACCTCTTCTATTTATATGTGCCAACTCAGGAAAAGAAGATCCCCAAAACATATAGTATAAATGAAAGTAGAGAATTTAAGATTCAGAATCAAACACTCACTCTCAGGAAGATGTCAACATGCACATACGTAGTATCATAAACTTGCTTATTATGTATTGCTCTACTAATTCATACATACTCATTTTAAGGTCAATTAGGACTTCTAGGTACGATATATGTAAAGGTGAAGACAATAAGTCACCACTCATGGAAAATGTCAACCAAATAGAAAACAACTATATCAATACCAACTTGACGCATTAGACTCTATAGGAATGATAACAACTAAATGAAAATATTAACACTAAATATCATGGATCATTTTAAAATTGACTTAATTTATTTGGATCATATCAGTCACTTGGTATCAACCAAACTATCCATAGTATCTTACTTTGACTTTGTCTCTAGGAAATCATTAATTGGACAAGTCACCGTGTTTGACAATAAAGAAAACTTTTCGGAAAGAACTATAGTATAAATAAAACCCAAAAGATATACTATAACACATGAATATGCACAACCAAAAATATATATACGGACCAACAGTTGTTCAAAATTAACAGTGCATGGTGAAACGGGAAAATTATCACAACATAAAGATGCCCATTTGGGTCAAATGAACATCATAAAAAATATATTTCAACAATCTTAAAACATTCACTGACATGTTTCAGAAACCTTAGGATATTTGTAAATCTCAATTTTATATTAAATTTGGTGTATCATTAACCGTCATGGTTCACTTTTTACCTACTAATATATTATCATCTCCCTTGCCTTATTTTTTATTTCTTATCTGAATATTTGTGTCTTCCAATTGATAAATAAAAACAGAAAATTATTTTTCTAATGCAGGGGATACATTTATTTTATCCAATAGACTTCAAACATAGGAAGAATTTCTCTACTTCACGAAGGGAGAAAAATCTGAGAAAAAAGGAACCAAAATATAAATGTGATGATCCAATTCTATGTTTTGGGAGTGCAAACATCAATTCTAAAAATTAAGTTAAAATAGAACCTTTGATATTTTTAACCTACAAAGCCACAAGATTAATGAATCTTGTACTATCACAATATTTAAAAAAAATAATATATATATATATATATGAATATTAAATAAGACAATTAATTCTATTATTTAATTCAATTTTAATATTAGATGTGTTACTAGTTTACACCAGAAAGTTTCAACATAAAATTTTACCCTTTATATAAATTGGTTTGTTACAATTTTAAGTGTAAGAGTTCATTTTAAAAAATTATACTAACAACAACATTTCAATAATAATAGTAGTAAATGAAAAAATAAATAAATTTGTATCTAATAAACAATAAAATAATTGACCATCAATTTAATAAGGGAATGAAACTACAAACTTTGAAACAAATTAAGAAATACGACAAAAGGATACTTCAAAGGAGGACAAAGGGAAACTTATTCGAAGAGTCCAATGACATAATTTAGATATCAAAAGTAGTAAACAACATAAATAGTCATTTTGACCATATGTACATAGAAAATAGTACTAATTAAAAATACACATATTGGTCCTTCGAATTTTTTGGTGTGGTTTGAATCTTGCACATTAATATTTTTAAAAAATGGATCATCTAATAAAGTCATCATAGCATCATCATTCCAGTTGAAAAACTCAGAAATTGTAGGGCTATCTGGTAAGTCAACAGAGGAGTTCTGATTGTTATTCATTGACGTCGATACACCAATTCAAGGGATATCCATTGTAGGTTCCATTTGATGTGTCATTGTAGGAGACACAGGAGAATACATTGGAGGAGCCATTATTAATGAAGGCATCGGAGAATCAATCATCGGTGCAGGCATCAAAGAATCCATCATTGGTGAAGGAATCAGAGAATCCATTATTGTTGATGGCATTGGAGGGGTCAGTCCAAGTGGTCTTCCAACAGCCATGTGTTGAGGCATTGGAGAAAACAATTGTGGAACCATTGGAGGAAATATTTGTGAAAACAATAGAGGAGAAGGATCCCTTGGTTCTTCAGAGTTGTTCCTACTGGGTACCATTGGTTCAACAATGGGTTGAGGGACATTCGATGTAGAACCCTCTCCATCATCCTCTTTTATCATTTGATCATGTACCTTTTTTGTGTTTTTTCTTGATTACGCAACGTAGGTTGTTGAGATTGGAAGGGTTCATGTCCGCTGAAACATTTTTACTCTTGAACACCTCATACATCTAATTTTTCATTTCCTTGACCGTATTTTCCTTCCTTACCTTTTGAAGTTGTTCCTCCAACTTCTTGATCCTTTGCATGGTGAACTCTTCTCTTGTCACCATGCATTTAGATCTCTCCAATGTCGGCAACTCCTTAAACGTTATAAAAGTGTTGCGTACAACATCATTATTTGGAAATGTATATGATTCATTTCTGTAAGGGCCGTATATGATTGTAGCCACTTCAACATCACAAAGTGTATTCAGTTCATCAAATTTTTTCAAGAGCCCTTTCAGTCTTTTATTATATGACACTTTTCTTTTACTAGCATCTTCAATCAATGCATAGTTCACTTTGTTTCTAGCCATGGATAAAGGGTAGGAGAAATGTGTTTGTTTGGATATGAGGGATAAAATTTCTTTGTTGTAGTAGTGTAGTTGTTGTGATTTTCTTGCCTAGGATTGACTCCTATTTATAGAGAAAATTTTAATTCTATACATTTTTAAAAGTTTGAATTAGAGACTTTTTCTTGCTAGCAAGAACTATTTTGGAAAAACACTAAATCAGTGGATATTAGATAAAAGTTAGATAGAATCATCTTGAAATATATTTACTTATGATTCCGGTATTATGTTGACCAACTTATTAGGAAAAATATTAATGTGGTTTAAATTTATGTAGTGTTCATAGAAAATGGTCATAAAGTTATCGCAAACGTATTTGTTTACTCATTTCCTTCATCGATTTTTCTTAAAATAAATAGTGTATTTTGATTCAAGGATGTTCTTAATTAAATATTAAAACAAGGGAATATTTTAAATATTGGTTAGGAATATTGAAGTATAAATTTTGATAGTATTTGAATATTCTTTAAAATATTCAAGTTGATGGTTAATTTAAAAAACACAAATATTTTTAAAATTTTAAATGGTAATGTATGTATGATTGAATAAGTTACATCGCTTGTCGAAGCACATTATTATTTTCTTTCATTTCGGTAAACCATATTTAGTGAAAAAATTATGTTGCTTTCAAATATATTTGAAACGAAATCTTGCTTAAATATGTTTTTGCTAATGTTTGATACTCACCAACCTGTCACTAGATTCACATTATATATATTTTATATTAGTTTTGAGACAAGTTAATATGAAATAATTGCACAAAACACTTACCAAACTGATGTGTTTACAATAGTGTTAAAATAAAAAGATATATTTTATTCATTTTAAGAAAAATACTCAAGATGAAGAGAAATTATTTGAAGACGTCTTATTATTTTTTAATCAAATGAATATGTACATTTATTACTCTAATGAAATAATCTCCTTTTATGGTCAATAAGATAAATATTAATCATATTGGGATCCATATATATATTTCTTTGATTCTTTCTAACTAATGTCTATCTCTTTATAAGAGAGCGGAATAAAGAACTACAATTTTATTGAGTTTATGTCATGTTTAGTTAAACACCTTTAAATGTAATGATCCATCATTTTTTATTTTTTTTTAAAACCTGCGATAAAATTCCACAGTCTAAAATTGGGTATATCTAGTTGAGTAAATCTGGGATCGACCCGCCTTGGAGGAAAACAAAATTTCTCTTACATAGGATTATCCAGGAAAGGACTGTCTTGGACCACTATAGCAGTCCCTTGGATACTATAGCTCGAGTCACTCTAATGGTCCCTTGGCCATCATAGCAGCACCCCACAATGGCCCCAATAATATTTACTCCTCTTTTTAGTCCATGTTTGAAAAGAGTTGCCTCTTCCTAAAAATGTCCTATGGTTATCTTTAAGAGAAAATCTTTGATAACAGAGACACAAAGCTCTTAATAAGCGCATTTCCAAACCTTATATCTCCAAGAAGGGTTAAGAGATAAGATTATATTCAATAACCAAAGATTCAATCACAAGGTAGCAACATATTCCTCTCTTAACAATTGCATCTTAAGAACTCACAAACCAGATAAAACTGAATTAACAACCACCTTAATAAGATCCTAAAAATAGGTATTGATAGTTTCTAGAATTACATAACAAAGTTAAGAATAAATTAGTCGCGCGAACCAAAAATGGAAGACATTGCACTCGTCTATCCCAGTACAACAAGTCTGCTTTAAAACCAAAAACTTCTAAGAAAGACTGAAAGGAAGATAATATAAATAAAGGAGCAAAAAATTTAGTCATTCTAATATAACCCGAAACCTTGTTGTTAGGTGTTCAATCCACTAATGTATTAAGACAAAATTGAAAGATAATTACATGTTTTAAAAGTCTTTATTTCTCAAATAGAACAAAGCATAAACATAAAGGAAGAAGAGGGTCCGCCAGGATGACATGCAGCTATCTCTCAAAATCCTTGTTGAGCCAAACAGAATGGTGATGAAGAAACATAATCACACAGAACTAGGCTTGGAACCCACATAAGTGTAGAAGCAAGGAGTAAGTACTGAACAACACGGTGCTCAGCAAACAACCTACCAAATAAATCAAAATTATACTTGAATACAAGTACTCTTTTTATCCAAACCGAATCTCCTACAACTACAACCAGCATAAATCAGTCCAACCTAACAATTTTACAATACACAATTCCAAAGGCTTAACAATCACAGTCCAACAATCGTAGTTCAACAACCAATAGGTTTCAAGTATGACAATCACAAGTACCAAGTAGGTCATTCTAAAGTTTCAAGTAGATCTATGAGAAGTGTCTAGTAAATTAAACTTTTGCCGAAACAATTTCTCTTAGGCACAACATCACTAGCTAGAACCATTTTTCCTTCGCCTTTATGTTATATAACTAGCTGAACCACATCACTTCATTTTTATTATTTCACTTTCCGGAACCATCTTCCTTCGATATAATATCAGTAGCAAGAACCAGTTCCCTAGAGATTTATATCATATCACTAGCCGGAATCATTTCCCCTCAGCAATATATCATATCTTTTGTCGGAATCATTTACGTCAGCATGATCATTACATGTCTCTTCACGGTATAAAGAAATCAATGAAAATTAGAAATTTCACACCATAAGGAAGAGACAACAACTCAAACAATCCAAGTCCACAATAATGCTATCAAAGTATTTCATTAATCAACAAATTTAGGGTCAACAACAAGGCAATTCACAAATAATTATGATCAACACATTGCCTCTTTCTTTAATCCCATTTTTATTCATTAAGATTAATCAAGTGAAATAATTTAACACATCACGTGATTCTCATTACTCCCCAACACACACTGTGAAGGGAAATAAACGATTCTACTAGGTTTACAAGGTTTAGAAATCACTTGCGTCAATTCAACCAAAAGTTAATACAAGACTTGTTCTTTCCCTTTCAGAATAATGTGCTAAGACACACAATCTTATTGAATCAAGTAATCAAAATAAGAATCCAAAACTAATAATAACACCCAAATCATTCACTTTGAGATATAGGTCATATCAACTGAAGAACCCAATTCGAAAAATGAGGTATGAATCCAAAAATATTTACTTGAATATGTATCCCAAGAAATTTGGAGCTAATTTGTGAAAACCATTTCGAAAAAGGAGTGCAAATCAGTGCACAAGCACCATTTTAGCTTAGAACACAAGTTCTTGAAAAACCTTGTCATTTGCCAATCAAAAACCCAACTATCACCCAAGCCTACACCTTGAATGTGGACGGCACTAGAGAACCATTGATGATCCACAAGAGAACCCACCATTGTCCTAGCTGGCTATTTAGCTAAAGACTAATCCAAGCAGAATTAAGCTTTTAAACACTATTAAACTATTTAATCTCAATGTACTTAATTGTCTCAAAATATTTTGAAAACAGTAATAGCTAAAAAAAATAGTTTAACAAAAGAATACTTGAAACATACTCAAAATTAACTATCTATAAAGCCTCTATTGTTCAAGATGGATGTCAAGACAAGACCCACAACACGTCAAACAACTAATTAAACAATAAAAGTTGAGTCATCTGGAATGCAAAGAGGCTCACCAAATGCTAACTGGGAGTGCAAACTGATCTCAACAAAGTGTCTGTTGACGATTTGAACACCTGTATTTGCATCATAATTAGATGCAGATCAAATGAAATCAACACTTTGAATGTACGAGTATGTAATATAGCCGAAGAGATATGATTGAATGAAAGGACCGCAATAGATATAAATATATACTAATATGAATGTAAAGAAATAAATAAGTGAAATCATTTGAACTTTATAAATACTTACTGATCATTGAACTCAACATATAAAGTGATATGATAAAATACACTTTTAACTATATTTTGGAGATTCTCTAACAAACAACCATCACTATGAGCAACGTGAGGATACAACTTCTTTTCAGGGTACAAAAATTGTCCCGCATCTTGTCAGGATATAGAACATCTCAACTAAGTGGATTCACTAAAGCTATGCTCGAAAGCATTATTAAGGAGTCATCTAAAAAGGTAGGATGCATTACCCATGTCGGCTACATCATTTATGAGGAATGTGAGTTATCTGAAATCATCCTCATATCAATGTTCAATAGTACTCCCAACAAATATATATATATTCATGCTCAAATGTGTAATATATACTCTATCTCAATTTGAGGTAATTGCTCAAAATATCCTCTTTAAAAAGTGTATTGCTATGGAATATTGAAGTATAAATTTTGATAGTATTTGAATATACTAAAAAATATTCGGTTTGATGGTTAATTTAAAAATCACAAATATTTTTTAAAATTTTAAATGGTGGTGTATGTATGGTTGAAGAAGTTGCATCGCTTGTCGAAGCAAATTATTATTTTCTTTTATTTCGAATAAACCATATTTAGTGAAAAAATTATGTTGCTTTCAAATATATTTGAAACAAAATCTTGCTTAAATATGTTTTTGTTAATGTCTGATACTCACCAACCTGTCACTCGATTCACATTATATATATTTCTATATTAGTGTTGAGACAAGTCAATATGAAATAATTGCACAAAACACTTACATAACTGATGTGTTTACAATAGTATTAAAATAAAAAGATATATTTTATTCATTTTAAGAAAAATACTCAAGATGAAGAGAAATTATTTGAAGACGTCTTACTATTTTTTTTATCAAATGAATATGTACATTTATTACTGTCATGAAATAATCTCCTTTTATGGTCAATAAGACAAATACTAATCATATTGAGTTCCATATATATATATTTCTTTGATTCTTTCTAACTAATGTCTATCTCTTTATAAGAGAGCGGAAGAAAAAACTTCAATTTTATTGAGTTTATGTCATGTTTAGTTAAATTCTTTCAAATGTAATGATCCATCCTTTCATTTTAAAAAATACCTGCGGTAAAATTTATC